ATTTTTAATTATTCCAATCCTTTGCATTCACACACACACACATAAAATATAATATCATTACCATCATTTAGTAATACACCTTGAGGTGAATTTAGGTTTCTTCAACACATGTCCACTTAACCCATTTCTTATCCAATTTTAAAATAGGAAACTGAAGCGTTAAGACAGAAAATTCAACATTTTTAATTATCCAATCCTTTTCATTCATAAAATATAATATCATTACCATCATTTAGTAATACACCTTGAGGTGAGTTTAGATTTCTTCAACACATGTCCTCTTAACCCATTTCTTATCCAATATTAAAATAGGAAACTGAAGCGTTAATAAAGAGAACAGAACACTTTCAATTATTCTAATCCTTTCCATTCATAAAATATAATATAGAAATTCTTGGTAATGCTAAAACCCTATCTCTTTATATTCATTTTCTAACGAATTATTACATAATGTACTTTATGATATTGTAATACACACACACACATAATACAAATAAACCAAATCATCGAAAAACCATCATCATCGAAGTAAACCTAGGCTTCTTCAACATAAGTTGTCTTATCCATATCCAATTTCTTTCACATAGCGTAGCAATTTGCATCTTATTCTGTTATTCTGATGTTCTGTTGGTTTAGTTATATCATGTATATGGTTGAAATTGCTCCGCTCTGCACTATGAGTGGTTAGTGAGAGAACAACAAATATTATAAATGTTGTCTCCACTCCAACTAGAGACAAGAAGTACTAGCTGCGACTACAAAATGCGCCTAAGGACATATGTTAAGACCAATTAAGTAAGTAATTTTACGAATGTATAACTAATCAAGTTAGATGCTTCTAAGTTAAACATACAAGATAGATAAATAAAATATAACTTTTGCCTTTCTGTATAATCATTGACACTCATTTTTTCCCAACCAATAGTCATCTATATAATTAAAAATAATACATTATTTTTTGTCTGAATAATATTTAAAAAACTAAAGCTGCTTTTAAAATAATTAATTTATTAAGACAATACTTACATTTATAAGTACAAAGTAATTATAAGTAATGAAGCTAATAACACATTTAATGTAATTTATTTAAAATAATTTATATTAAATATAGTTTAAAAAAATATATACCACCATAACTTAACAATAAAACTTATGATTAAATTTAAAAATAGTTTTGAATAAACATATATATGTTAAAGTAAATTCTTGAAGTTATATGTAATATACAAAATTTTTTGGAATATTTATTAACAATTTCGTTTATTATTTATTAACATATTTACAGCAAACTACTATTATTTTAATAATATTAAGTATATAATTGCAAATATGTAGTTAGGTTATCAATAAACTCTCAGTTAACAGTTAAAGATATTTTTTAGAGCAAAATATATATTAAAAGTATTGAAATTTATTTAAAATATTTTGTTAATACATATATATATTAGCAACGATAAAATAAAGGAGGGACAATTTTTAATATTATTTCAAAGATTTGTTTTTTTTTATTTGGTAATATGGGAAATATTAAATTTTTTCACTTCAATTTTTTTAGAAAATTATAGTATTTATTAGTGCTGCTTTGTATTTGCAACTTAATTTCAATTTAATAGCATTTAAAAATAATTATGGTATAAGTTAGCATACTCTAGTATCTAAAGATTAATATTTGCGTTTTCAAATATATGTGTATTTTACATATAGTTGAAAGTTCATCTACTTAGTAAATTTGGCACACATTTTAAGAAATACTTTATGTTCCCAAACATTATGTACTATTAAAATGAATATATTTTATTTTTGGTAGAATTATTTAAGTGCCAGCTTATTTAAAGATATAGTCACAATTGTTTCGGATTAATAAATATCTATGATTTTAAAACATTAGTACAATTCATATTATGTTAATTTAAATTATACACTAAATAAAATAAGAATATTGCTTTAAATTCATTAAAATAAATATAAATTCACAGTTAAAATTATATAGTTAAATTTTGAAAATTACATGAAAATAATAGGATTTAAAATAAAAATATTAAAAACAGTTAAAGTTCAATTTTAATTTAGAATACATTTTATATTTTATATTTAATTACACATATCTAAATTTTATTTTAAATAAATATAAAAATTGCAAAATTTTTTAATACTTAACAGAAATTGCTTATTTTATATTAACAATGCGTCATTAACTTAGTTTTTAAATTATTTTAAAACATATTTAACATTTAAATTAATACTTTTAGAACTTATTTATGTATTGAAAATTATATATTTGTTAAAAAAAATCATATCATAGAACATTTGTACATTACCCCATAGCTTAATAAGCCGTCTAAAAATTACTTTAATATTTTTTGATATTAAAATTTTATAAATATTGTTAGTTGTCTTTATAAAATAAAAATATTTAAAATTATTATTTTAAATAATTTGTTTTATTTATTTCCAATTATATTTCTATAATTATGTTATTTTTATTTTAACATTTCATCATCTTAGGTAAAAAAATGGTTATTTTGTTTTTGATTTAAGTAATTTGTTTTTATTTTTATTTAATTCCTATGGAAGGAAACTGACGGTAAAAGTTTCTTCTGTGATATAGTTTTGGTTTAGTTTTGAAATCGTCATTTTCTTTATATTCAAACATATTATTTTAATTAAAATTTAATATTAATATACAAAATATATTATATGTAAAATATCTAATACACAATTATTTTTTCTTATTTTAAAAAAGTTTTTTTATTTAATTTCTACATATCTAAGATTTTGATTTTAAGTTCTAATAACTAACAAATATTTTAACACTTAATATAAGCAAATTGTTATATATTGTATTAAAATTTGTGTTTCTATATCTAAAAGTACTAGTTAGAATTATTTAAAAATATGTTTTGTAAATTAATTTTAAAAAAATATTAAAACCTTTTAATTGAAATTCAGTCAACAATTAAACATTTAATTTTTTTAATGTAATATTTTGCAATATATAACACTATATTTAATACAATGGGCCATTAGGCTCAAGTAGTGGATCTCTAAAATCACGTAACACTGTATTTAATTTTTTATAAAAATTTTTAAAATTTTACACCTAACTTTCCTACATGCATAACATTTTAAATTTACTTAAATGTATTTAAAATTTATAATAAAATAAATAGTTTTACATAAATGAAAATTATAACAGTTAATTTTTTAAATTAATCTTAAAATTAACCTTAAAATGAATATACTAAAATTTATATATAAACATACATAATATGTTTTAGACATTATAATATATATATATATATATATATATATATATATATATATATATATAAACATATTGTTATAAACGAATAGTTAAAAACACATTAATTTTTATATTTTCACAATGAACACATATTTTTTTTCATATATTAAATAAAAATATTATTTGAATATAATTAAAATAATAAAATTAATTTTTATTTTCATAAAAACTAAATTAAATTAAAATAATTTATTTATTATTGTTATCGGCAATCATTTCCTCCAATGCACCATTTAAACGTCCTTTACTTAATGCTTCTACAAGCATATGTAGACGCTCTTCTCGTTCTGAATGACGTCGCTCCAGTGATGATACCTTCAATAAATAAATTTATTTAATAAATTTATATTTTTCACATATTAAATAATAACGGTGAAATTTTTTATATACTTGTACGTTTCTTTTTTTTTAATATATTGAACAGCTCCATAGTTTACATATCCCATCGAAAAATCTTCTAAAGTATTAAGTGATTTTCTTTCAGAAAATTATTGACATTTTTCATTTGCATTTTATTTGATATATATCAAATATTTGATACATCAATAAAATAATGTATATAAGAACCAACATTTCTAATTTCTGAAATATCTTCGCAATCCTAATTAAGTTATAGAGCACTAGTCAGTTAGTGGATAGTAAAGAGACAATAAAGAGACAAGTAAAGACAATACATATTATTGATAGAATCCTACGGTCAATTCTATCTCTTGCACAGATATTGTATTGGAGAACTACAAGGGAAGGTATTACGATAATCAGTTTCATATTATTTCGAAAAAAGACTAATAGTTTAAAAGACTAACAGTTTAATTGTTGCTAATGGGAAACATACATCCAAAAAATTGATTTTAAAAGAAGCCTTGTGACACTTCATGCCAATTTATCGACACTAGAATTGACAGAAATGTCCTTACTACCAGGTATCTTATCATTTATGAAGTTAGCTGATAAATGTATCGACATTACGTTCAAAACTATATGACGTTTTGTAACCAGCATCGATTTTGCAAAAATCGGCAGTTAAGGACTTAATAACCACATGGTTTTTTACAGAGTTTTATTGCCTCTTCCATAAGAATATACATTCCTAGGAGCCTACTTCGTATGTGCATTAGTGCAGGGTATTCTAACAGCTAATGTGTGCCCGACTCCTTATACTCTTCACAGAATCTACAGTTTGTACCCGTAAGTATAACCAGTTTTATAAGGTAATGTTTTAGTCTACAGTGCCCTGTTAGGATTCTGTGATGATTCTAAGTTTTTCTTTTGATAAGTTTATACAATCCTGGTATCTCTTATTGTTATAGGTACTAATAAGTGATTTGGGTTGTTTTAACCCTGTGTGTTAGATATTTTTACACACTTTTTTTTGTACTCTTTTAATTATTCAGTCTACTTAAAAGGCTGTTACATTTTATTTTTATAACACATGTCAAATATTTTAATTATAATTTGTATTACATCAGCTAAATAGTTTTCAAGTAGTTTACTTAGTTTTTTTTTATTAGAAACCATTAAAATTACATAATATTTTTATATTATTGAATATTATACAATATGTTGTTTTCTCAATTAACAAGATTTAATAATTTATAACAAAAATATATTCAAAAAAATGATGTCTCTTCGGTATTGTATAAGATAAAAAAAATTTTTTGGATTGTTGCATAAACAAAATAAAAGAGATCATTAAACTTGGACAATTAAAACTTCAATTAAAATCCAAGTAAACAGAAAATAAATTGTCACTTCAACTAAAATTTAACATAATTAAAATGTCAAAAACTATCTTTGAATGGCTTTGCTATTGAGTGGCTCAAATACCTTAGCTTTCAGCGCATAATAATCCACGGGCATTTTACGGCGTTTCTGTAGTGCGAAGGCTTCATCACGTTCATTTAAGCGCTGCTGTAAAATGCGTACGGTTTCGTGACATGAGGCGAGTTCACGTTCATGGGCAGTTTGAAGAGATTTCAGCTGTAAAAGCGTAAAAGTGTGAATTAAAATATCTATTTGAGTATCATAAATTTGTTGCTTTTAATATCAATTCGATTATGCTTTACTTACATCTTGCAGACGCTTGTCATGCAGCGTCTTGTAATCCGCTTCCAGTAGTTTTATCTTATTTTGTGCTTCCTTAAGTGCTTGACTCTCAGTGTTTGCTGGAGTTTGATCTGCATTATGCGATGCATCGTAATGACGTCTTGAAAGTGTACTAGGCGTGCTGTGTGGTTTGTCTGATTTAAGTGCTAAAAGAAGAGTAGCCAATTAATGAAAGCAATTTTAAAATTTTTGTTTTTAAATAAATTTAAATAAATTGTTAAAAATTTTTATACAATTATGATAATGATAATAATTATTGTCATGATAATAATTATGATAATAAAAGTAGCGCAGTGAAGTATTTGTTTTATATTGTATGAAATTCGGAAGACAACATCAATGTTCATTTGTACTGAAACAGAAACTGACCTATCATGAATGATTTTAAGCACTTTCAAAAAGTATTATTAATGTATATATATATATATATGTATTATAAGATCCACTATATGTTTGTTTGTTGATCGTTTTTGCAGCACAGAAAAAACTTTCGGATTCAACAAGTACAAAACCACTTTCCTTTTGTTAGTAGTAATCGTTTGCTGATAGATGTAGGATCAGCGTTCAGGGTACCGGTCAGTACTGTAATAAATTTAGCTCATTACTTTATAACTTACATAAAGATCTAACCTAATAAAGAAGCAGTTAATGAAATATGCGTTTCAGATTTAATTTCTGATTTTGCTAATATATATATATACACAGAATTTTAATAATGTCTAGAAAATCAATCGAAAGAATTATTCAAAATTTAACAAGCTATAGCATGATAAATATGACATTACAACTAGAGTTAAGTATTAATTACACTATGACTTAAGCTTATTTATATACACAAACAATTATACTTTAAATTTATTTAAAAATTTTTTAAAATTATAGTTTAATTTTAAAAGAAATATAAACAAATAGAACGGGAGTTTACAAAAGGTCAGATTTTGAAATGAATCGCAGAACCAATAATGATGTTAATTAATATATATAAAACGTAGTATCCGATTGTAACTTAACGAAACATTTCAATAAATTTCGATTTTTTACAAAAGGTTAGATTTTGATATGAATCTCAGAAGCACTAATGATGCTGATTACTATAGATAAACGATAGAATCTAATAGTTCAGTTCAGGTTTTAATATGAATCGCAGAATCAATAATGATGTTGATTAATATAAATGAAAGGTAGTATCCGATTTCCCTATCGTTGTAACTTAACGAAGCATTTCAATAAATTTCGATCATCTTAAAAGGTCTTTTTATAATAATTATAAATAATGAGATAAAGGGGATATATCGATTGATTTCAATATTCTTAACAGCTTTTTCCAATATTTCAAATACAATGTAGCTTAATAGAGATAGACCAATTTCTCGAGGGCCACAATTTTAAAACTTATATTATTTTATTGTTATTTAAGGTCAGTTATGTCGGTCGTGACTATTGTACTTAATAGAAACTATTGTATTTGTTAGAGAGGTTTCGAAAAGTAATGAACTACAACAACAAAAATTCTTTAATATTATTTTAATTAATTGAATTTTTGGCTGACCATACATCTTGAAAATACATATCTTGAATATATATATCTTGAATATACAGTTTTGAATATTGTTAAATTACCCATCATCAGAGGTCTTGAAATTATTTCTTATATTGAATTTTTCCTGAATCAACTCGTACCCTGCCAAATATGAATTAAACGCTGACTCAGAAGTTTAGTTTAGTTTAGTATGTTTTATAGGATTTTTAATCATTTCACAGACGTTAAGTCGGATATGGCATCAAAGGCTTCATATTAAACTTAATTAATTAAAACCATTTAATTGCCTCATATTTCTAAAATTGTGTCACTCTTCGCAGAACTTTTTAATTAAATATGAGAACGTAAACAACTTTTTTGACTGGCAAATTCATCAGATTTAATCAGATCAGATTTCATCGATTTAAGTATTATATTATATTTGTTGTGTTAAATTAACAAGGAACAAATATATCAATCTGGCAACATCATTCATTTATCAATGCATTTTGTGCTTAATCATTTTATTGTATTTCAATTTAGTCTCAATAAAAGATTCATGTTAACAATATTATATTTAAATAAACAGCAAAGTTTAAACTAACAACAATTAGTCACATTGACGTTTCAATAGATATGTTATGCCTAGGACATTACAGACGACCCTGACTCGTCTCGTCTCATTGTTGAGACAAAATACTTAGGAATTTACTTGAAGAGTAAATTCGCCTGAAAGAACAATGCTAGTTTGATCACTGCAATATTTTAAGCCTCAAACCACGAAACTTAATTTAAATCGTAAGTTGAAGTATTAGGTTATTATTAGACAATATGCTTCAGATTTGTAATAGTGATCTAAAGCCTCTTTGAAATTGTGAGCTACAGTCACGTGAGACTTAGATATATACAATGATTCAATGTTTTTAACCCAAAACTAAAGAAATCTGGGTCCCAACAATCAAAGAAAAGAAAAAACATTCATAATTAAGAAGCACAATGACACTTGAAAACATAATTATTCAATTTCCTTCCTGATGAAGGCAAAAGTGAATTTGCGGTAATATGTGTAGAAATATACTAAAAATAACGTTCAAAATAAAAGTCAAAATTCTTAAAAAAACAAAACCGACTTTATAATTATTCAAACCTACTTGTAATTGGTTTTCGATTGAGACTTAGAAGAAAATTTACCGAGAACCTTCTTGAAATAAACACTTAATTTGAACCAGTACACATAAATACTATATGTGTATATTCGTATATCACTGCACATAATCCATGTACTCCGTAGTAGCTAAACAAAATAATTGCTTATTGTTAATTATACTACAGAGATTATAATAAACTGATCTGTTTAACAATAAAGTGTTCTTTCATTCGACTACAATCGACTAAGATCCCCGCGAGGAATAAATTTCAAGCATGTTTAACCTACATTGTGAGTACGCTAGACAATGACATTGACATTATCTTATATGCACAAGACTAAAATTATAATAATAAATTACCTCAAATATTATAACAAGAATTTTAATGTTGTAATATTTAAATTTTTTTAATTATCATAATAAACTAGTCAACAGAAATGAGAAAAAAAATTTATTACATAATATAAAATAAAAAAAATAAAAAAATAAAAAAAAAATAAAAAAATAAAAAAAAAATAAACAAATAAATTTATAGCTAATTTCTACAAATTAATAATGTTACATAATTTAATTTAATCGCATTGTAAATGCATAATTTTTTATAAAATTAGTAACGATCATTAATTAAAGCTTAAAAAATACAAAAGTTCGACTTTCGCTTTAAGTTTCAGTTTTCTTGCTGCCACAATTAAATGTTGGAAATATTTTTAAGAAGCACTGCGACAAACCTAAAATAGTTTAAAAAGAAAGGTACAATAGAAAAAAGTGAAGAAGTAAGCATACGAAGAAAAAAAAAACCATTGGAAAGATGATCAATTGAACGACTATCCAGTGACATAACGTCACTAAGTTGGCGGCGTATTCGGAATGCGACACGTATCGTAGGTGCGTTTCTACGTGATAGCAAAACATTATCAGTTAAATGCCCGATTATCATATAAAAAACCGAGCTACACATGCCATCACTCACACTTCTTCAAATCTTCACATATTCACATATTCACACATTCACACACCCTACACACTCCACCTCCACTGGATTGGTTCGCACTGATAACGGCTACAAACAAAATCACTTCGCGAGACAAGCTCGGATTGTCAAAGCATATTCAGTCAAGTCAGTCAGTGATTAATTTTTATTGATATGAACATTTTGTACCAGCAGTAATCGATGCCCCATTTGTACGTGCCTTCACCACTTGCGCAGAGAAAGTCCGTAAATCACTTGAAACCATGTTTGAACCGGCCGTAAATGCGCATTTGTATGAGAGGCTCTATCCCTATCGGGTATTTAAGAAATTACACACTTAACGAAATTGAAACTATAAATCGTTAATTGCTACAAAAACAAAAAACATGAAATTGTTATTGTTATTATTATTGTTGTTGTTGTTGCTGTTGTTGCTGTTGTTTTTAAATATAAAGTAATAAATTATGATGTGTGCGAAAATGATACAATATGTTTTTGTAAAAATAATATATGAGCTTTTAATATAAATAAATTAAATTAATGTTTTAATTAAGAGATAATGAATTGGCGCCTTAATCGATTATCTACAGAAAGTTGTGTTTAATAGGTAAAGTGTAATATAGGCTTTTCCATTTAATTTCCATTTTAATGTTTTAGTTGTAGGAGTGTATTTTTCTCTTTAATTCTGGCACTGAATCAAAAATAGTGTTAAGGGAATCAAACTACAGTGAAAGCTCGTTAAAGACACGCTCTTATATCTGCAATGTAACTAATATAGCCTCCTGGTTTCTTTTTTTGTACTAAGTATGCCCATTAGCTTCAGTTACATAGATCTTTAAACAAATGTTTTCTCGTCTCCTATAAATACAAACTCCCTTATACACAAGAGAACAGATTGCAAGCGGTCTAAAGTAAGTGTACCAACATATATTCTATAAATAATAGTGTTGAATCTTGATAAAAAAAAACAATTTACAATGATTTCTTTTTTCGTACGAAGTATGTCCATTAGCGTCTGTTAAATAGATCTTTGAACAAATGTTTTTTCGTCTCCTATAAATACAAACTCCCTTATAAACTAGAGTGAAGATTGAAGCAGTCTAAAGTAAGCGCGCAAACATGCATTCTACAAACATTAGTGTTATTTCTTACAAAAAAAAATTGTCCAATGATTAGTTTTAGTTAATTAGATTAGTTAATTTATATAGCTGTGATTTATGTGTTAGTTCTTATATCAATTGTTTTTTTTAGCTGCATAAGAACTCAAAGTCATAACACAAGACAAAAATATTGTGAAAATGAAATTTATCTTATTATAATCTGGTAGATAATTTCTCATAACATTTATTTTTTGAATATGATTTCCGATATATGAACGCCGTAAATTCAAGTTACATAGTCCATTCGATCAGTTCTATTTTTGACTATTTTCTGTAATAAATGTGTCTCTAAATGTGTGACGTAAACATTGGCTTTTAATGCTTCAAGAGTTACTGGTTTGTTGGCATAAACCAATAACTTAACATAGCCCCATAAAAAGTAATTGAGAGTCGTTAAATCATACGAACGAGGGGGCCAGATAACAGGATCACTTCTGGAAATAAAATTGATTCCTAATTGATATCGCAATTAATTGATTGTTAAAAATGGGAAGTTGTGCCGTCGTCGGCTTGTTGAGACCAAATGCGAAATGTTGTCGGTACTTAACTGATTAATTTCTGGAACAAAAACAAAAAAAACGGACTGATAATGCCGTCAGCTTGTAAACCACACCAAGCAGTCAATTGTAATGGATATAATGGTGATTCGTTAACGGATTGAGGATTATCTTCACTCCATATGGGGCAATTTTGCTTATTGACCTATGTCAATAACTAGAAATGAGCTTCATCACTAAACACAATTCTTTGATATGATCTTTGCAAACACATTAATTTCTTTCAAAATAAATTTTCACAATCTGGAAACGTTGTTCTAGTGTTATTCGATTTATAATGAATTTCCAAACACTACTAAGCTAAAATGTCTTAACAGTTTAATATTCTCATGAAAACACCCATTATATAACACAGCAAGTACAAGCGCTTTGTGGATTAAGTTTCTGACATTTAAAGTCTAAAATTACAATAAGACTAATAAATACTTCCAAATCTCACTGATGATGGATATGTGGCAATATCTGAAACGTACCAAGAACTCATTTGACTAAAAATAAAAAAATTTCATAGGATATCAATTTTTTTGTCACTATCGCCCCATTTTCAATTTGAAATAAATTTTTTTTCATATGGAAAACATAATTTACAAATAGATATTTTTACTATAATCAAAAACCTCTCTCTATCTTTCATTGAATTAAATCAGTTCATCAAATTTATTTAGGTGAATCGTCAACCTTGGTCGTCTTAAAATATAAGTGGTTTTAGATGGATAACCAGTTGCTGCTGAAATAACCTCTAATATCTAATCTAAGATCATATTAATGAGGTCTATTTAATCAACTCACTGAGCTTACGGATTCCTTGTGATATCTAATCCAAAGTGCTGTTTGACGACCAATTTTCGTAGATAATTTAATCGCTATGTTATATTATTTTAATTATTTTAAAAATTAAGTCTAATAATTTGATTAACAAGAATTAAGAACTCAATATTATAGTTTACAACTTCATCTGCATTCATAAAGATGTCAATTGATTTGCAAGTAACAAATGTACCTTCGATTTGATATCGTTATATGTAGGAGTTCTTAAAGTTAAAACTTTTATTTATGTATCACCTGACGGGTTTTTTTTTATTTGTAACAGGTCCGTCTTGGATCTTGCATTTAAATAGCACTTGATGGATCTTTTGATTTGTAAAAGTTCCATCTTCGATTTAATATCATTACATGTGGGAGCTTCAGAAGTAAAAACTTTTACCTATATATCGTGTATTCGATGTACCAACTAAAAATTTTTATTAATGATTTTCGATATCACAGTAACTTTAAATATGAACTGTAAATAAAAATGTTATAACCTATACTTTTTACCAATATTTGCAAAAACGTAAATTGAAGTTTACTATTAACTGTTTTGTTACGGAAACTACATGTTTTATAATAGATGTCTATACTATAGATTTTTAATTTAATGCTTTAATGAAATTAATATCTATTAAAACAAATGACTATAGTAAATAAGCTAGAAAGCGATAATAGTACAATATTCTTTATTATAAACGGATAATACTTTCTAGATCAGTGGTGGGCACAGAAATATGTTAAAGGGGCAGTATAACAATATTCACAATAAATACAAAATTATATACCTACTCATATTCAAAATTCATAACACCAAAACGGATTTCAGTATATGCTACTGATTCCCCCTGTTATTTCTACTTTTGATTGTTAATTGGAACAGTAGTTATTTGCGTAAATTTTTAGTGCTTGTGGATGAGCATTGTATTGCAAGTTGCGTATCATAGCTCTACTTTTGTTAAGACATGTAGGTAACTTTTTTTTATAAGCTTAATCATATTAGGTGTATCAGAACAGGAATTATGTAAGGACGAATAATAAATGGTATTACAGAGACAAATACATATGAATAAGCAAAAATTATTATAAACCACGGAACGCTGTTCTAGTGTTGTTTTACGTGATTATCATTATTGTTGTTGTTGCTGGAGTGCTTATAATTGTGATTTACAAATATATCAATAGATAACAGAATAATTGAATTGAGCCACTGCATGACCATCGCTAATCTAGATCTATATCTGAATTTATATACAAACACACATATTGTAGGTAACGAAACTATATGTATAAATTATATTATTTAAAACAATCTGTATACTAAAGAAATGAAATCTTTTCAAATATTTAATAGTTAATCAAATATTTTATCTAATTTGATTTGATAATTTGATGTTTATGTTGTTTTTATTAACAAACAAAATGTATTTAATGTTTAAAATTTTGCATATTTAAAAGATTTTATTTTGTTACGTTTTATAATGCAAATGAAGAGAAAATGAATTTAATTTAAAACGAAAACTGTAGCAAAATATTTTAAATATAAAAAAAATTAATAATAGAAATCTGAACTCACCGTCCTTTTCTCTTTGCAACTTTTTGATGGTCTTTTTGCATTCATCAAGTTCACGTGTCAAGCGCTGCATGGCCTTATCTTTAATGGCCAAATCAATGCGCATACCGCGTATGGTAGCCAAAAGATGTGCATCTTCTTTTGCAGCGGCGTGATAGGCAGACATTGAAATGGTGGAATCTGAATGAGAAACCGGCAGTTTGGAGGCAAGTGCATTGGAGATTGCCATATTGGGCTTGCGTAGGCCACTTTGTTTCGAATTGGGCCTGGAATTATTTGGCGTTGAATTTGCGGTGCTACTTGTGCTGGAGCTTGCTGAATGCTGATTAGAAGTGCCGATGGTATTTGTGCTATGATCTCGTGTAGAAGTTTTTGTGTTGGCTGTTTGTGTGCAGGCCGACGTAGTTACTCGCACTGTGGAACTGGTGTTTTCTGTCTCTTCTTCAACAATTTTAATATCATCAGTTTGTGTAGAATTATTGTAGTACTGCTCAGATTTTTTCGAAACAAAATAATCGAGTGTACGCACTTGAGATTCTATCTTTTCATTTAATTTTGTGTTGATTTCTTGTAAACTGCAATTATGTATGTGAAGAAGAATTCGTTTACACACAAATAAATTTTTAAATTATTGTAGAACAACTTACCTTAAGACTTGTGTTTCTAAATCAGCAATATGTGTTTCATATTTTGCTTGTACTGAGTTGAAGCGCGCTTGTACGTTGGCCAGTATTTGTTGTGCTTTGAGATCCTGTGCTTTGGCATCTGCCTCCAATTGTGCTATACGTTGTTCCAATAGTTTGCGACTATTTAAATTCTCTTGATCGTTGCTAGTACATTTTCCAGGATTTTTGGAAGCAACTATAATAGAAAAGACATGATATTTAAAAAACAGAGTTAAGCAATCTTCAACTAAATAATGACACACCTATCAATGCGGAAACAGAGTCAGGATGTTTACGCATCAAAATACGTTCCATTTCCCGACATTGTCGTTGCAAATCCTGTATAACTTTAGTATCTTTTTCTTTCAGTTCTTGTGCACGTTTTTTGTCTTGTCGAGTTTCTTCTAGTTCTGTTTGCAATGCTTTCTGTAATTCCAAAGCTTCACTGCGATCATTACGCGCTGCTTTCAGTTCCGTACGCAAAACGTTTGCACATTCTGTCAAGTGTTGCACATCTAATTTCAACATTTCCGATTCCTCCTGTAAATGTGAACTATTGTCACGCAAATCACGGTGCAAATGCGCTAAAGAGTCATGCTGTATGCGCAAAGACTGTAAACGTTCTTCAGTATCTTTAAGTTTCTCTTGTAACTGATCAATTTCCTGCTTTAAGACATGTTCTCTAGTCATGAAACTCATGGATTCAATCGGCGATGTTACCGACGAAACCATATGCTTTGGCGAAGAGTTGACAGATTTATCAGAAAAACTTTTTACAACCGCAGGTGTAGGTGTAGGTGAAAATATATTTTTATGAGGACTTAACGTTTGCGTAAATTGTGCAGAGTGTGTGTGACTAGCGATGCCGCTGTCAGGTGTAGTTATTGATGAGCGACGTACTGCGCTACCAGAATTACGTCGTTCACTGACACTAGGACTGCAGGCTTGTGTAGCATTAAAATTCAATGGCGATTTATGCGTGGGACTTGGCATGTACGCCTGTGATTGCTGCGTCTGTAACATACTGTCAACGCTGGGACGTCGATTAGTAATGTAATCAGATTTCGTATGTTCTATGCTTGTGCGTAAAACCGATAACATTCTAGACATGGGCATCAGGGCAATATTAGTATTAGATGCATGCAGTGATTCATGTGCATTTGAATTGAGGTGCGACACATTGTTTGTATCTAAATTCGTGCCATTTGAAATTAAACATGGTTCATCATTAACTGCCAACTCAATAGTTTCTATGCCTTCGGTTATTTCTTCCATCTGCAATGTATTAATAAAAGAGAAGGTTAATTTTTTTTCTTACAAGACTATAAAAACTTATTTTAAATTAAAGTAAATTTTCTTAAGTTTTTGTGAATGTAATTTTAATGATTGTTAACTGCGGTTGTTAGTTTGACGGTAATAATGAATATCATTGTATTATCAATTGAAAGAAAGTACATTTATATTTATTCTTTGCTACTTGTAGTATGAACATATAAAGCATTAAGTGTTTTTGTCGAGTAGTTTTGTCGTATCTTGCCAACACGTCTCCAAACATGCATCTTTTACATAAAATCTTCTATTGTTTTGCAAGTTTCAACCGCGCCCACTCCCTTAAAATATTCAAAAATTCTGCCTGGCAGACACAAGTTCACAGAGTACCAAATAGAAATTGTTAAGTGCATTGTGTTTCTTGAATAATAGAAGTACAATGGAGCAAATTTTGAAATTTTTCAATACATTTTAATTCTATTTTAACAAATTTTATATATATAGAAACGTAATATCTTTTTTTTATATCATCTTCAAGTCTATTACAGCGATTTTTAATGACTTTTCACATATCAGATCATGCTTTGATGGTTGCGAACTTTCTTTTGATACAGTCATGATTTAAGTACGAGTCTGTGTCTACAAATATCTCAAAAGATGTTTTTTTTGCTTTATTACCCAACAAAAGGTTGAATGTAGTATTACCAGTTGGTTGGGTTATAAACAGACCCAATTTTATGGAACTATTTTGTCCCATATCAGGCTATACCATGATGGATTATCTTGAAATTTTCATAGTGTATAATCAAACCAGCACCAGTTTCTTTAAACACGTTTGTACATTAACTCTTTATGTCAACGTAACCAAAACTCTTGGCTGTTTATTTTTCTAGCGGGTACGTTTTACACGAAATAGGGCGGTTCCCTACTACTCCATGGGTTCCTTTTTTATTAAATATTACAATTTTTTACTTCATGGTTATACTTCGGGAACTTAACCGCATTTTCACTATGTCATTAGATCAAAACAAAAGACTGCAAGTAAATGAATATTCCTAATATTTAGAATATATAATAATCTTAAAAATCTATACTTAGAATATTAATATATTTCTTATATTATTATTTTCAAAGCAGCAGTTATCATGTCATTAAATACAAAGAAAAATAAAAAAAAGACTGGAGAGCAAAAGAGTGCTCAATAATCAAAAATGTTTAAAAATTATAAACCAAATGAACCTCTCAGAGAATCAGATGTGCTGGCAATGTAGCAGCCACAATCATTGAATGCATCGAAAATACAGATAGAAAGATAATGGTTGGTGTCCTTAATCCCAAAGGTTTGATGGTATAAGAACTGATTTCAGCTGACTGGCAATACTTGTATCTATTTACGAGAAACCTAAAGAAGTTTTGTGAGGAATAATATAGCTAATTTTATCTGCAGCTAATTGTAAAAAAGAATAAGAATATGTGCGAAATTAAATTTTAAGAATCTATGAATGGGTTCCAATTTAAAGTTTTGAGTTCATTTTAATAAACAATAAATGTACTTACAAATAAGATTATGAATAAAAAATATAAATTGATTATTAATAAAATACGAATTGTATTGAGGCAGAACAAAAGATTTACCATTTACCATTTGCTTAAATTTCATATTTTCAGCAAATGTTCGATTTGTGTAAAAGAAAATATTACATTATACTTCATATATTTATCACAGAGTTAAGTATGTGATTTAATTTTTTCGAAACTTTTTTTTTTCAAACACAAAAAATTTAGAAATAATGATATAAGTAAATTGTATATTATTGATTGCAGACTACATTGTGACCGAAAAGTTTCCTTGCATTTTAAATAAAACGCAAAATTCTTAATCTTCATCAATATTTATTTTATCTCCTTCAAAATATGCTCCATTAGAAGCGATACACAAATCCAACGTTTCTTCCAATCATCAAAACATTTTTTATAGGCGCTTTCCGGTATGGCTTTGAGTTCCCTCTGCGAATTCTGTTTTACGTCTTCTATGGATTCAAAACGCGTTCCTCTGAGTGGTAATTTGAGTTTGGGAAACAGGAAAAAGTCACACGGTGCAAGATCAGGTGAATACGTTGGCTGTTCGATGGTATTTATTGAATGTTTGGCCTTAAAATCGTTGATAATTTTGGCTCGGTGCGAGGGAGCATTATCGTCATGAAAAATCCATGAATTATCCTTCCACAATTGAGGCCGTGGTCTCACGACCGATGCCTAGCTCTCGTGCTATTTCTCTAACACTCACATGAGGATTTTGGAACACGATTTCCTTTGCCTTTTCAATGTTTTCGTCGGTGGTAGAGGTCGAAGGTCGTCCAGAACGCGGCATGTATTCGACGGTCGTACGACCGTCCTGAAAGGCTTTGTACCACTCATAAACTTGAGTTTTCGATAAAACTGATTCCCCATAAGCCTTTTGTAGCATTCGCAACGATTCTGCCCACGAAATTTCGTTCGAAACACAAAATTTGATGCAAACTCTTTGTTCAATATTTTTTTCCATTGTTTTTTTCGCAACGCACTACTGAGGTGAACTGGTTTCAACAGCTGCCGTAAACGAACTGTCTGACAGATCGCGCTCATTTTTGGCATAGTAATTGTACTTAATTGCTGCCAAACTACATAAACTTAAAATATCGAAAAATATACAGCGCGCGAATTTTAAATGAGAACCTCCGAAAACTTTTCGGTCACAATGTACATTGATAAATAGGTATATAATTGGAAATGGTAACTCATCTTATGAAAGAAAATCTTACATAGGTCCTAAGAAGTAGGTCCATATATAAGTTTTAAAGCACCCTAGCTTAATTAAATGAATTTTTTGTGGAGAAAATGTATTTTTGAAAGAAAAACCATTATTAAAAAGTCCTTAAAACTTTAAAATTTGATATTACATAGATATTTGAGAAGGAATCGTTCTAGTCTAGATAGCATATTATTAGCTACATTTTTTCCTTCTTACCTATTATATACAATATACCTTTTAAACAATTTTCCATCAGTACA